ATGTATTAAATTACTAAATTGAAAAAGCAATCTATTTACTGTCTTTTTTCTGCCCAAGGAAGGGGACAAGGAAGTGTTGAGTACTACATTACTGCTTTCCTTCAGTATCTTTTTAATGAATTCTTTTGATGGCATACATTTTTCCTTGTTTCATGCACCACTGATTGTGATACATTTGAAATACACCAAAGGCAGCAATTGTCTTTAAATTATTTCTTGGGTTAAGTGTAATAAGCAAGAAAAATACCTAGAAAAATAAATTTTAAAAAAAATTTAAACTAGTGGCCTTTGCTTCAGAAAAATCTCCTGACTCTACAGGAAGAGTCCCCCAAAAATGGATGCCTTCGCTTTTTAGTCTCCTTTACATGAATCAAAGTTGAGGAAGTAACCAGTGTGGTGTCCAGAGCATTTTCTCCAGCTTTTTTAGCTCTGCCTCTGCAGAGAATTCCTGTCAGCCTTGAATTTCTTTTATATATTGTGACAAATGCTGCCTTGCTGTGTTTTCTGCCCCTGCTGGAGCCTCCGTGGGATTAGAGATCACGTGCTACCTCAGCTTAATGTTCTTGACCTTTTTCAGATGATTGACACTGCTGAATGATTACAGCAAAGCAGCAGTTTTCCACTAGCTGTGTTATGCTCATTTCAAGGAGAAAATAAATGGTTTTTGGATTAGTAATCTGGACTGTGTCTCTCTGCTGAGTAAATGTAGGAGACCTGCCTGTAGTGAATGATGATTCCTTCCCTGTTTGTTCTGTTTTGTGGTACTTTCTGCACATTTCCCCTGTGCTCTCCCCCTTCTGCTTTACTGTGCTCTGATCCCGTTAGCCCACATAGCTAAGAGAGCTAAATCTTTTGGGCTTCATCAACAACATAAAAGGCTGAAAGGCTCAAAGATGTTGCCAGGCATGGCAATGTGTACCTCCTTATGTATTTTAAAAAATAAAATAGAAGAAATGAAAGCACCCCAAGCTACCAGCAATGTATTTATGATGTGAGCACATAAAGTTGTATAGGGATTTTTGCAGTCTAGCTTCTATAGAGGTTTTTATTTTCCGTCTCTCTTTCTTTTTTGTTTTTTTTTTTTCTTCTTTCTCCCTTCAGTTGAATTTCCCACAAGAATTCTGTCAAGGTTTGGCTCATAAATAGTAACGAGTTTTGTAAAGTTCTGTACACACAAAGCAAACAGCAAATTTACCAAATGTTCAATGCAAAGAGATCCATGTGTCTCTTCATGTCACTGTTTTGGAAGACATTTTACAGAACACCTGTGTGGCTTTAATGAAAGTTCACACACACAGATGCAAATTTGAAGGAAAAAAAAATCTTGCGCTGCATCATAAGGACTTCAATACTGAGATTTTGTCCTGTGTCAAGTGTTGATATATCTGTGATGCTATATTGTCATTGTTGTAATCAATAAATGTTATGACTATTAACATTAGTGTAATCAATATTATACAATTACACAATTATAATTATTATTATACCGTTAACTATTACAGTTATTAATATTGTCATTATGTTGCCATAGCCCTTTTAACAGGTAACTTTTTTTTACCTATAGGGCATCGAACATTGTTCATTGGAGTTCATGTGCCACTGGGTGGAAGAAAAAGTCACCGGCGCCATAGGCACCGTGGACATAAACACAGAAAGAGAGACAGAGAGCGAGATTCAGGATTAGAAGATGGGAGAGAGTCTCCTCCTTTTGGTAAGACAAATTTTATTTTTGCGTAGAATAATAAACATCAGTATGATTATGCATGCTCTGTTCTGTTATGGCTTGGACACAATTAGCAGAGGAGTTTTGGAGAACTCACCAGAGCCTCTCCAGTCTCTGCAGGAGAGCCAAGATGAAGGGCAGTAGCCAGTGGCAGTCAATACATGAGAAATCTCAGTATTTCTACTACTGTCGGAGATTGTCCATGAGTGTTCTCATAAAGGTAGACTGCCACCACCACTGAGAGGTGGTAAGTGCTTTATGGCACCAGCTGCCCTCGGTGAAGGCACTGGAGTATTTTCCCCTAAAATGTAACATAGAGGAGTTGTGGTTCTTTACAATTAGTTTTGTAATAATGTTGATGTTACTGAAGCTGCAGTGTTTTATCAGATATGAACTGCAATTCAGATTGTGTTTGCCTTGTTCCTTACATGACGCTGTAATGTGCCATTGTGAGATGAGTCTGCTAACTGAGGACTTGAGAGCAAACAGGAAAAAATACCTTTCAATGAACCAACCTGATACCAAACTCCTAAAATTCTCAAAATTTTAAATTAAAAAACATTACAGAGAACAGAAAAAGGTAGTAATGAATAAATTAGGTAAGCTTTATCTCAAAACACATGGAAATATTGTTTGCTGTTCAAAAATAAAAGGTGCATGTGCTGAAACGTCCAAGGATGTAGTAAGTGTTGAAAGTATAATGGAAGCATGTATAGAAAACAATTTGTTAATGTGCAACAGAAGAATGTTTTTAAATCATTAGGGAGATGTGCCAATGTAATTTCAGGTTACAGAATAGTAATTATAAGACTTTATTTTAATCCAAAGTTTGTATTATGTGTGTAGAAAGCTTTGGAGCAAGTAGATTGAAGTGCTGATGGTTAAGTATGTTGTAAAGAGCTTGAAATACTAAAATCTTTCACAATGGATAATACTGAGAGAACAAAATATAGCCAAGATTTTTCAAACTTAATAGATAGGAGTAATGTTTTGAAGACTGAATAGCGAAGAAAAAATTGGCTGTGGTGGTTCTGTCTGGAATGTATTTCAAATGTACGAAGACCCAATACTATACTGAAACTGGTTTCTTGGAAAACAACAAAGTTCATAAATTATTAAAATGTTTTTCAAAAAGAATATGCATACATACATATAATGTTAGATTAAAAAGAAATAATTGAAAGTTACATTAGCCAACAAGTGAGATATCTTAAACTATGAAGCAATGTCTTCTGTTGATTCATCTGGTTTTATTTAAGTGCCAGTATGTGACGTGTTTTGGCTGAGAACTTAGGTCTGTTCTTTCAACTTCTAGAGACCTAGGCTTGTGTCCTTCTTAGTGTCAGAAGTAAAAAAAAAAAAAAAAAAAATTAACTGACTTAATCTGTCCTTAATAGCCTTTGACAGGTGTGCTTACAATAAAATGCACTATTCAACACAGTTCTGTGTTAAGTGAAAATCAACCTATGTTCAAGAGAGCTCCATGAGTGGAATAGCAGTAATACAAGAGAGAGAGTTTGCCAGTGCATTTGTAAGTTGGTGTTCACAGCACTTGCCTAGAGGCATATGTTTGAAGTAAGTGCAGAACTGCACTTTTGTAGGTCATATTTTCACTTGTAAATGTATTATAACTACCAATAGTGTGTAGGTCATGTCACATAAATTATTACTTTTTATAAAGCCCAGGACAGGCAAGATATAGGCCAGAAACATGCAAGTCTTCTCTGGATCGAGAATGCTGAAGATACTTTTCAAAATGCTTGGGTGATAACGGACAAAGGACCCAAAGACAGAACTACCAAACATTCAGAAAAATTTGGAAATATCAAACTTTTCCACCCTAAAATAATATCTAAGTAGTAAAACTTGAGGATTTTCCCCCTTGGCTATCTGACTCCTGGAAGTTTGGCCAGAGAACCAGACTTTGGCTGAGCTTTGATATCTGTGCATCCAGGCAGAAATGTGGCATCCCATAGACAACGATGAAAAGGATTTGCCTTATGAAGGCAAATCTGGAAATTAGACAGTGATGGAGGCGTTAAGCTCAATCAGAGCAGGCAGACAAAATCATACAGGGATTAATCATAGTCTGTATCCATATCCTTGCTTTTACTGTGAATTTTCCTTACAGGATTTTCAGACAGGTTGTGCTGCCTAGGGAGAGGCATTGCCTTTAGAGAGAACATAAGCATGGTTTTTCTATGCTGTGTTTACACAGAGGGAGCAGCAGATACTTCCCACACTAAATCTGAGTCCACTAAACCTCAGTAATGCTTCTTAGTCCTCATTCCCCATGACCACAAGGTTATTATAAGTACCCAGAGGGTGAAGGAAGCTGCAAGGAAGACATATGCACTCCCTACTCTTGATGCATACCTGTGCTACCTAAGAGGGCAGATCCAGAACAGTCCCTTAATTTATGAATCATTCTGATTTAGTTGAACACGCAGAAATGCTTGCCTCCCTCTCACCAGATACCGCTTCTAACGCATTTCTGCTGAATAGTAGGAGGCTGTATTCTTGGGAACTGGGGGGGGGAGGAGGGGAAATAAAAAACATTTCAGTGAGCAGGTGCAAAAAGAAAGATAGAGCAAATAAGTGCTGCGAGACCAGCTGATAGGAAACAGTGCTTTGAAGTAAGTCACAAAAATACATTAGGATTTTTATGATACTAGAGAATAAATTAACAGTGTTTTGAAGCAGTGAAGTATGAAGGGATGTACAATAAAAGCCAAAGATGCAAAATCTGAATTACAGAGATGCTGGAACAGGGAAGGCCTGAAATATTCAGACATGAAGTGCTCCAGACTGCTCAGTTTACCAAACATGGGATGAAACATTATTTTTATGTCATAATTTGTAACTTCACCTGTGAATCTTGCTGTGCTGTCACTGCATTCAAAGAGCTGCAAGGTATACGTAGTGCTGTGGGGCTGTACAGGCCCCACTCAGAGGGGACAGGGGCCACCTGGTTCCACCTGGTTCCTACCGAGTGAAAAACAATTTCTTAAACAGCTTGCTTTGTGTCAGCATGGCTAGAAAACACCTGTCTTCAACGTAATGCCCGTGGCTGGAAGCTTCCTGGTTGGGAAAGCTGTACCTGCTACTTTCTGAGAGAAGGTTTCTGCAGAGAATAGATTTTTTAGAAGATTCTGACAGCAGCTCATAAGCTTTTTATTCTTTGGTCTTCTACTGTCACTTTTCAAAAATAAACACAGGTGTTCCCAGTGCGCAGATTCAGAGCTTTTTAGACAAATAATATGTAGCGTATGTAGTTAGTGGAATAAAAAGGAGCAGAGTCCTGTCATTTGGGGGCACAGATCAGTTACTCAAGTTTTGTTTTTGTTTTCCCCACACCTGATTCTCACTCTCTGTCTGTTACCTCTTGATGAGATGAGGTTGTACAAGATGTTTCCATTTAGCCCTAATGGTGTGCCTTTGAATTGCATATTTGCAGATTACATGGCTTGCTCATGGAGCGGCTTTTTTGGGTAGCAAAAGTTGTAAGCTAAGTGATTTCAAGATCTAGATTTCCACCATCTTGCCTCATATTTTTTTGGAAGAAATCCAGTGAAACTATCTGCTCTCATTAAAAATGCAGTAATGCTTTAAGCTCCTCTCTTCCACAGCTTTACTTGTGGGGCAAGTATTGTGGCTGCTCTGTGAATTAAATTAAGGAATTGATGCAAATTAAAACTAGTTTGGCAAAGAAGCTGTTTCTAACCTAGAGCAGCTCCTTGGTGCTGGTTGCTGGGAGGGTGCCAGCCCCAGGGGGCTGCAGCACTGTGGGTCATGGTGGCATTGAAAGTCCAGTGCAGATTTCCCTTTGGCTGGTAGGGTTGCGCTTGCTTGGTATGCACGTGGATTTTAGGGCCAATTTTCAGTGTTTTTTTGATGTCTGTTTTTTGCCTGTAACCAGTGAAAAAACTCTCTTGCACTTATGAGTTAAAGATATTTATGTTTCTGTTTTAAAATGGGGTGGAACAGGAAGACTTTTGCTCTAAGCAGGGTGTCTTTAAGGACAGGTTTTGTGAGGGTGAATTGAATACAGCTGTGAGGACTGGGGTTTGATTTCAGCCTCCTGTGGGGTCTTCTAGGACTAGACACTGCTGGGATTGTGCAAGGTTTGGTTTGTTCTTTTAAGAAATCTGGCTTTAATAATCTCTCTTAAAGAGGCTTGAATTTGTAATTCATGATATTGGATGTCGCAAGTGAGGCTGAGCGGCTGTGGAGGTGAGCCTAGCAGAGGACGGTACACACGGCTCGGGACAGACTCTCTGAAGGTAATGCAAGCGAAAAAAAAGAATTGCAACGGGGGACTTCTCTTGGTTATGAGAGGGGCTTGAAGAAAGTATAACAAAAGGACTCAACTGACTGTATTAGGGAGCTAACATTGAAGGGGTATTAATGGGACAAATTTAATTATTTGAAAGAGTACGGCTGTTAAGAGAGTTCTCTTACCCTTAACTGTAGGCTTTGTCTGCTGAAGGATGAACTTGGAAATTTGAATCTCTGGGCAGCTGTGGAACAGATTGCAGCAAATCAGGATTAAAATAATGTAGCATAAATGCAGTTTTAAGAGTCTATCAAAACGGAGAGAATTGAAGCTTGGGAGTTGTCCATATTGTCAGATCCAAAAGATAAGATTATTTGTCATAGCCCTGAGGTGATGGAAACAATTAATGTGAAGAAAATGCAGAGTGCTTCCTGAAAACAAGATTATAAGTATAGCGATAAAGTGCCAGAGGAGAGAGCAAGTGAATACTTTCTCCCAGCCTAACCATGGTTTCTAAGGTCTGTGAAGACATTTTCAGAAGGCTACTGTATGGCTCTTCACTATTTTATGTTGACTTCAGTAATGTTAATTTTGTTCAAATTTTTACCATGTTTTCTGATTTAAAAAAAAAAAAAAAGTAATTTATGATCCCTACCTTTACTGATTGCTGAACTGAAGGGCAAAGTCCAATCTGCACAGGAAGGAGGTGGGGGGAGAGACCCCATCCAACATTTCCTTCGTGAGCGCAAGCAGGACGACAGTGAATGTGTGTGAAATGATCCTTTATTTTCTGTGATCCTATGAATTTTTCACACCAGTTCCCCTTCATTTGAAAGGAGTTGTTACGGACGTCAACTGTGTTACACCAGTTCACTCCCTGTCTGCAGGCTGTGTAGTAAGCAGCCAAAAAACCCGAGTTTGTATATTTAGTATTACTTTAATGTGAATGTACGAGAGCATGAGACATGGATTAAATCTGGTTTATGATGTTTACTATCTTACATGAACTTCTGTAATGTAAATTTTATTTTAATGTTTAGTATGTGATCTAATGTAGAAAAAGTAATTTTTCACACATACATCTACTGACCCCAATAAGAAGTATTAACCTACTAGTACTACCCTTAAATGCAGGTTCTCAACAGACTTAGAAATACAGAAACTTGTTCTGACAAGTGAGCTAATAGAGTGTTACCAGAAATACATTTTTGCACCCTTTCTAGAGTTTATCAAGAGCAGAGGACAAAATTTGGATACATTTTATATATACCTAAGGCTCTGTTTCTGCTTCTGGCATGGCTTGGGCAGATTGTGCGCCGTTCTGCCTGATGGCAGGGCAATTTGTCTCAGGAGAGATCCTGGCACGCACTGGGGAAGAGAGGCATGTCACTCTGAATGGTGCAGTGGAGCAGGTTGTTTGCTGGGCTGTATTTATGTGGAGGGACTGAGAATGATCCTGCTTTCTTACCCCAGCCCGAGTCGTGATTTCACCTTGTTCCCTTAGGGAAGAGGGACATTCCTGACCCAGAACTGTGGTTGCACTTAGGGATGTTTTAAATGGGGGAAATGCCAGTTACAGTTCTTTCCTAAATGTGTTTTGCAAGGCAGGATGGTGATGTAGGCCACTGTCCCCCGTGCCTGCACTCAGTGCTGTTTCAAGGAGCAGCTCTTTGTGTTGCCCTCTTGGAATCAGGTTATTAGCAGTTCTGACTTTCAGTTCTGCTGTTTGGCATGTCTATGCTGGCATCTTGCTTTTGTTTAGAGATGTTAATGACTTTACAAAGAGCCATAGTAGTGAGTAGTATGGCAGGTCACTTCCTTTCTGCAGCACTGAATCCCTGTGTGAATTTGTGCTTTCGAAACCTGGTCTTAATTTTTATACTTTTAACAGTACAGTGGAACTTTGAATTTGAAACCTTGAATACTCAGGTTTTCCATGCATGCTGTGAATTTGAGGTATCAGAGGTAGTTTGGATGTCTGTGTGAATGCTGCACGGATGATGTGACCACAAGCCCAGAAAAACCCGGGTATAACACCGACCCTGGCAGGAGAATCCCATGGGCTGGTGGAACCACAGCAAACAGAAACCTGCTTCAACTTCTGGCTGAGATGGCTCATTAGCCAAGAACAGGTGGTTGTTGATGGTACTCTTGCTCCTGTCATGTACCAGACTTTCTGCCCAGTTCGGCTGGTCCTGGAGGATTTCCTGAACTGGTGTTGAGCCATTTACTTGGGAGAATCATTAGCTGCCTATTGTGGAATTTTAAATTCATGTTGCTTCTAATATCTCTGTGCTCTGATATTAAACAACTGCAGTGATAGAAATACTGATGTAACAAATTAGTCCCATTCATTTAATTTTTTTAGCTTAAGCTAGATTACTTTCATTATTTTTTAGAAATAGCAATAATAATATGAAGGATTTTTTTTTTTTTTTTACACTGGCTGTACTACTTGAAGTAGGGATAGACACAGATAATATTCAAACCAATTTCTCTTTTCCTAGACTTCAAGAAACATTGAATGTCCTAGTTTGCAAATATTACACTTCTACACTGAGAATTAAATTATCAGTCTGACAGTCAGCAATTTAAGTATTCTTTCATACTGTTTTTGAGTCACATATTACTCATTTTCCATATAACACATTAATGACATATTTGGTATTTATTACTCCTGTGAACAAAAGCCAAATCCATCTGGCATTGCTCATGTGAGTAATCCTGTTATCTCAGTTTTATAAGTAGAACCAACAGATCTGAATTTTTAAATTTTGTTGTGTTCCTATAGTTTAATTCTCTTATGGCTTTGTCCTTGAAATAAAATTATTGTACTATAAAGCAAACAATAACTTTTTTTTTTTTTTTTCCAGCTTGGTGTCTGAAAGTTAAGCTGTGGCTTGCAGGTTTCAGACAATAATACAAATTGCAGCAGCAAATAAAGATAGCCAGAATCTAGCAGCTAGTATTAGTGGTGTGTTGTCAGGGAAGAAGAGAATTGAGTGCATATTTTGTAGTTTACATAGATTCTTCACTGTTGTTAGTCAAGTAGCTGTACGTTACACAGAAGACCCAGTAAGAGCAAATCACAGTAGTGGGGTGTTTCCTTGTTACTGCTCACCTGACTTCAAGAGATTTCTGATCCTCTGCTTTTCTTCCTGTGCTGAAAGCGTGCATTTGCATGAGTATCATAACTGTCATAAAACTTCATCTTGGCTATACAACACTACTCATTTATTACTTAACAGTAGCTGTTGCTGTAAATCAGTTCTAGCACTGATTTTTATCAAGAGTACAGGATGTTCCTGGCAATGATTATTCTCAGATTCTTACTGCAGCCCAGCTCTCTACCAAATAGCTTGTTTTCCGTGTTCTGTCATTAGTCATATGCACTTGTCCTTTGCAAGTTCATATTTAGCTGAGTTCTGTCCTTCTGGAAAATAATCTTAACAAATTGCACACTTCTTAACCAGAATGTATTTTCTAGCTCAGGTTAAGCCTTGATGTTTGTATTTGTTTTGTCCTCTAGAAGATACCAACATGTGGATATGAGGAACATAAAGAATTTTTAAAAAATAGGTAGAGAGAAGCTGGAAGGGAGTCTAGAATAGAGGTTGAAATGGTCTTAAAGAAAATAAAGGACTGAACAGTGAGAGAGAAGAGTAATAAAAGAAAAGGTAAAGTAGAGGAGGTGGTTGTTGTTCTTTAATGATTCACCGAAAGTATTTCTGTCCCCTTAGCTGTCCCCCTGCATTTCTCTTCTCTCGTGCTTAGTAGTACCTGAGTCCATCTCTTTCTCCCTCCTCTCCCATATTTCTTCCTGGGTTTCTTTTGCTTTTCATTTGTGAAGGAGTATATAGGCTTGACCGTACTATGTCTTTACGCTTTGTTTTAGCACATAGACCTCAGATGAAAACTGTTGCGCATTGTTTGTGTTCTATTGGAATAGCAAGTTTACTACTACTACCAACAAAGGTATCTTTACTGCTGAATCTAATCTTCTGTATCAGTGGCCCATTTAGTTATTTTTCATCGGTGCTGTATTTGCTCTTCAGCTAGTATTCAATGAGTGCTCTCATCTCAGTTTTTCCAAAATTCAGAGAGCTTGAGGATCCTGTGCAGTGATGCTTTTCACTGCTAGATTGAAAATTGTGTAGCTTGTCTTACATGGTTGTAGAACAGAACTTAATTTAGACATTTCGAGGAATCACTGAACTGTTGTGCTGAATAACCAGTTTTTCAGTTGACTGGCAGCCTTGCCCCTCTCAGCCCTCACAAAGGACTTGTGGTTCCTCTCAGAAATCTAAAATACATTATCAGAAAAAATAACTATATATTTTTAGAGAGACTGGGTTTCATCCAGAGCTTGTTCATTTGAGATTTGATGAGCAAATTGGTTTTGTTTTTTGTGGTTTTTTTGTTCTGTTTTGTTTTAGGACTTAGAACACTTGAACTGTCAATGCTGAATATACACGTACATTAAGGTGTTCTGTGAGTTCTGGAAATTTTCTGAGTGATATGAAGAAAACCTAGTATGTCTCCAAAATATATTTAGTGGTCTGCATTGAATGGTTATGGAAGAAAGTAACTGGTAATAGGAATGTAAAGGGAAGACAGAGACAGGATGCGGGGAAGTTGGGACAGATAAACCATGTGTTCATCTGGAACAGCCTAACTATGTAGAAACAGTTTACGAAGGGGCAGGGAATGGTAGGTGTAGACAGTGATGTATTCTTTTTGACGTTCCCGGTTGTATATTGACATTAGAGAGGTTTCTTTTGTTTTCTTTCTCCTGCTAGGTAAAACAGAGAATGCATATTTAGTACACCAGTTTTGTGAGCTGACCTAGATTTGTAGACTTAACAATGTGGCAAAGTAGTTTTTGTAACACTGGAGTAAAAGACTCTTATCAGCTCTGTGAGGCTATCTGTGCTGCCTTTTTTCTGTGAGATACCATTCCAGTTTCCAATAGTCACTACTTCTGTACATCGCATTCTGTCTTTAGGTGAGTTTAATTAGCAGACTAGACAACTACAGCAAATAAAGAGGTCTCGATCTGAAGGTGTTTGTGTGTAAATGTTCTTACAACATAACTATAATCATGTTTTCTGTGTGTCAGTAATTGTTATGGATGAAAGAGTCTGGATAATCTCATGAAATGTGAGGTATTTGCTTGCTCAGGACAAAAGTAATAGTATTCTAGACTTGATTTTTTTTTTTAATTTTTTTTTTAACCAAGATACCCCATCACAAAGGGTGCAGTTTATTCTTGGAACAGAAGATGATGACGAGGAACACATTCCTCATGATCTTTTTACTGAACTTGATGAAATTTGTTGGCGTGAAGGAGAGGATGCAGAGTGGAGGGAAACAGCAAGGTGAGTGTTTTAATGAGTTTTTAAAAATTATCTATAGCTATTGGTTGCTGGTGTATTGAGGAATGATTTCAAAGCTGTTGCAAGCTCAGGAACAGATATTGGATATAAAGCTTAAATAAAACCATAATTTTAATCCTTAGATTGCTAGTGTTACAACAGCATTTGTCATTTCCCAGAGCCAACTCTTTTCATCTGGATTTATGAAATATAGGTCAGAATGAATATCAAGGGAAACAATGGAAGTAAACATCATAAATATGAATTAAAAATGACTGGGTTTATTCATATTTTAGCTCATCATTTTAAGAAACTGTCAAACTTCATATTCTGTTTGAATCTTCAAGAAACTAATAAAATGACCATTATAAAAAGATTAAAGCAAGGAATGAGATTACTTTTGGAACAATAAAACTTTTACATATTCTAACTATCAATAAACAGTTGATTTTGAGAGTTTGAGTATTCAGTGTTGGATTATTTTGTTTCTGCAAAATTAGTGTGAAAAGACTGTTCAGATTGCATTTTTGATGAAAAAATTAGTAGTGGAACATAACTCTTTTTTTTTTTTTTTTTTTTTTGCATGTTTGTTTCCTTAAGCACCTAAATGGGAGATGGGTTGCTTAGTTTCATTAAGACTTTACATTTCACAGAAATCCTTGCTTAATTTTTCTTGCTAGAATGTTGATTCTCTTTTCCCCTGCCACTATTTGTTGACAGCCTTCCTCAATCATGCCCAGAAGTCTATGGACCACATCTTTGGTGTCAGTAGGATAAAAACTGTGGAATTTCTGAAAAGATTTTGTGGGAAACTATGTATGTGGGCTGTTTGGCATAATATGGCTGTCAGCTTTCCCTTTAATTTTACTGCAAATTCCTGCTTTCCCAGAGGACCACAGAATTTTCTATGACCTTACCTTCCCTTATGTGTCCATTGGAGGCATAGGTAGATGTTAAATATAGATCTTTACATGTAGAAAATTCTCATATGGGGATTGTGCTGCAAAATGAATGTATTAGTGCTCCTAAATAATCTTCTTAATATTCAGAGAGAGAAAATCTAATCAAGATAATCAGCTGCACTGTTCTCATACTAATTACGAATATATAGGACCTCTTCGAGGAAGAGTATCGGCTTCCATTGTGATTAAAAATAAAAATCACTGTGGCTTATGTTATTTTTAAGCAGGGAAATAGCAGCTTCTTTAGTTCAGCTAAAAAAAAACTCCTTTGCAAATCATCAAAGAATTATGTTTCTGAAAAATTAAAACAATTTTTATTAACATAAATACTTAAGATAGAATTTGAAAGGAATAGGTGAAATTAATTCCTATTTAGGTTGATCTGTCTGTATGCACAGCCTTTCCAATTGTCATTGGAACTAAACTAAAGAATCAAAAATGTTTAACAGAAGCAAGATGATATTATTGAAAAAGGAGAGGAAAAATCATCCAAGAAAACTATGTTTTTGGATCTCAGAATATACAGGAGGAAATGGCAGTGAAATGACCAAATTAACAATGAAGGCAAGAGTCAAAGTGCTGTGTCTGTGCAAATAAGAGGGTGCAATAATTTCCATCATAGAAAGCTGAAAGAACAGGTATTTAATGGGTATGGTAAATCCTGTCTTTTTTGTGAATCTATTAGGTGGGTTGTTTGTATAGCAAACACAGCAGTGCTGTTCAAGAAAGGATGAAAATGGTTGGAACAAACAGAGGCCTGATAGTCAGATTTCAGAGCTATGAAGGCTTAGAACAATATTTGAAGGCAAGAATAATTGTAGACTTGGAGCTAAGTGGAAAATTGGATAAAATGCAATACAATTGTGTATCATGTCAGACTAATTTAATAATGCTATATAATCAGATAATTGATTTTTGTTTTTCTGACAAAGAAAAAACAGTAGATCTCTTTTTTTTTTTTTTGGTAAAGCATTTGATATGATACAGCAGTGTGAATTCATTACTTAAACTCTATTCTTGTGTAAAAATTGTATTAGTGGGTAAGGAACTAATTGAAGGGGTGCAGCAGGTGATGCTGAAAGATTAAACTATTATTGTGGAAGGTAGTGACAACTAACTTCTGAAGAATAAATAGCTTTATTATTGAATGATAAAATTAGGATTATAGTAATGAAACTTGCTAATGATAAGAAATTAGGAGATATTGTTACTCTAGAAATAGGTAGGGATATCAAACACAAAGAACGAGTTGACTGAGTAGAATAATAGAAATGAGATGTGTTTAATATGCAAGATCATACGCTTAGAAACTAACACAATGGATAATTTTCAGTACTGGTGGTTGATTCAGAAATATTGTTTTGATTAAACACATGGTTTGGAGAGGATGCATCCTGAGTTTGTTGTTGTTCCAGCCTTTTATGTGTTTTCCATCTCTCTGGAAAATGCCACTGGAAGTATTTTTAAGTCTTGTTATCTGACTTTGGATATAGTTCCAGGTAGATTAATTTAAACACAAACAATACAGATGAAGACTTGGCCATTGATTGCCTTTAGTGAGAGTGATGGCACTAAGTGGTTCTGTATTAATTCCAGCAAGCTTTTCATGGGCTAAAGAGTTGGGTTTACTCTGATGCAGTAAATCTCTATCTTCGTATTTTCAGTTTGACTGAAAGTGCACACACAGTTCAGCCTTAAAATGTAAAAAAAATATCTTGAGCAAACTGTTTAAAAAAATTTGTGACATTTTGTTCTCGTCTGATCAAGAGTAACATATCAAAGGGAGACATGGATAAGATTTGCCTGAACCTTGGAGTTCTTTAGGTAAATCTCCTCTGTTTCTATTTCATTTGTTTGGAGGACTAAGTCCTTTTCTACACCTTTGTTTGTTTCCCCCCCCCACTTTCTTCTCAGCAGTTAGGAGGCTCCAAGCAGTTTCTATTCTGAAAAAAATATTTCCAGTAAGTTTGTGGAGAAACACACTGAGGCATAACAGTTGCATTTATTTTATACACACAATAGTATAGTTGCAAATTGCACCTATTAGGAAAGCAATTGATGTTCAAATCTGTCCTACTAGCCTCATGTGGCCATGGCAGGAAAGTAGTACCTGATTTGTAGCAAGTTTTACCTGAACTGTTGGGACTTGTATGTGCTAATATCACATGAAAATTTTGGGCAAATATCACTGTGTTTCTGTAACAGAAAAGAATAGGTAGTAAGGAAGAAAACAGAAAGACACTTTGGAACAACAGGAGAGTGTTTAGGCTTGAATTTTAATGAAACAGCACAGTTATGAAAGTAAACCTCTGTCCACAGTTTAGCAAGTAAATTGTCAATAGTGACTAGAAAATGGATGTACTAGGGAAGAATTACAAATATGAAGTGAAAGTGTTATCTCTTCTAGACCAAAACTTCTTCCAAAGAAAGTAGGTCACAGAAAACTTAGGTTTCTCATTTCTGCTTTGTTTCTGACATGCTTATTTACTTTGATTCGTTTTCTAATCAGCGTAGGCAGGCAAAAGCTCATGTGGAAATTTATACAAATTGTAAGATTACATTAATAACATTAACTCTTGAGCGGGTTGTGAGTACATACTCCAACTCTCTGCTGCAGACATAAGAGACTATAAAGTAGACCATGTTCAACTCACCCACTTAATATTGTGCACTGAAATGTAACTGAGTCTACAATGAGGTCTGCACATCGGCTCTCAAAAATTGGTGGAGATTACTCCAGAAGATGTAACGTATGTATGCACACACACATCTTCAAAAATGGTATAATACGGCATGATATGGGAAGAAGCAGGCAAGGGAAGTTTCTCATATTTCCTACAAAGAAAGAATAAAGTGAAATCTGAAGACATGTAACAGTGATCTTTCAGTATCCATGGAAGTAATTTGGTTTTTGTTCTTATGCACAATGGAATTATATAATTGTTTGTTTGTATAGGTGGTTGAAGTTTGAAGAAGATGTAGAGGACGGTGGAGAGAGGTGGAGCAAACCATATGTTGCCACCCTGTCACTTCATAGCTTGTTTGAGCTCAGAAGCTGTATCCTGAATGGCACAGTTCTTTTGGACATGAGAGCTAACTCCATAGAAGAAATTGCAGGTATGTATTGATGTTGCATTTATTAATTATGAATATTAGTCATAAAAATGAAGTGCTTACAAAATTGCTTACAAGAAAGCTATTGCATAATAATCAGTTCAGTTTAGAAACACCTAGGAAATATTTTACTCAATGTATTAGCAAAGAGACTAATATCTGACACAACTGGTAAATATTTTATTTGTATTTTTTGTGTAGACTTTGCTATTTTCAGAACCAACTTTTACGTAAAGGAGAAAATTAAAATGGAGCAGAGAGGACAGTTTGCATATATTTCATTAGAACTGGCATGTTCACTGCTTCTGCTGTGCCACCTCACATTGTGAATGATGTGTTTGCGAACTTCCCCAAACTGGCTCTACTGCTGTGCTAATTGCAGACAATCTAGTTTAAAAAAAATTATAGACAAGTATTCATCATAATTATGCAACATGAAAACAGACCAGTTTAAAAAACGTCTGTGAGTTGAGAATGAAATAAAGAACAATATTAGGTGTAAGGTTTTAAAAAAAAATTTAAGATACAGTAACTTCTTTAACTAAAGTCAAGTGCAATCTTTCCATTATGGTGTGTTTGGCAGTTGTAGTTCTAGAGCTTTTGAAAACAGCAGGAGCAGAAAGCAAGAGACAACATAATGGATGAGTCTGGTCTCCCAAAAGTATAAGTGAGACTGAGACTGAATGCTATTCCTGGTGTTTCCCATAAAGGCTGTAACTAGTTACTGCAGGAAACTTTGTTTTTTGGTAGGACACGGAATAAAGCAGGTTGTTAAGGGCTATATGGTACAGACCTGTAATGCATGGCCTCAAGGAGTCTTAAAACTACAAAGGCTGCATGGCTGTGCTAGAATCATGCAGTGCAGTCTGGTACGTTTATTTCCCTTCCCAAATACAGTAGCTAATTTGAGTTAGATCATTTATAAATAAATTTGTTAGTAGACAAGAACTAAAGATAAATTAAGTTTCTCTACTCTATCAAGACAGGGATAATGCATGCATTATAATAAAAATATATTTACATTAGACTTTAAAACTCCTCATTAAAATGATAACACCCTGTCCTTGCTCCTGTTATTTAAAAATCTCTGTCCCTTCCAGCAGAGAAGACACAGAGCAAAGAGCTGTACTATTTTATAATCTGGGCTCTCTAATTTTCTGTTTATTTACCGCTGGTAAGGGCTGATGTCATGCTTATGATGGTTATTGGACTGGTATCCTTGCATATCTTACATCTACTTAAAACTTTTACCTTTCTTCTACCATTTTGTATTTCACAGATTTTCTGAAAGTGGTGCTGTATCTGTAAATCATACATTTGATGTTTTATACAAATTATACAAATATTGCAGTTTTGTACAAATACTGTCTTAGATTTATGGTATTCTCCATATTCCAAACAAGATGCAGCAGATGTAAATTTGGGAAAAGAGCACATGCACTGCGAAATGGTGCATGAGTGGTTGTTGGGGCCTTTTTGTTGCCTGTCACGGGCACAAAGTAGCATGTTAACAGAAAATGTAAAGTACGCAAATAAAAACAGAAAACTTGTTTAGGTAAAGGCACAAAAGGCAGAGCAATAAAATCTTCTGGCACTCAAGATTATCAAGAAAAGTGCTTTATGGTGATATGTAAGTCCATGTAAGGGCCAGATAAACTTTTTTTTTAGTTATTTATATTATCAGGTAAGGGAGATATTGTTTAGTGGGCTGTATTTAACAGTGGAATTAAAATTGGCTCAGATATTCATAGTTGCATTTTGCATTTACCTTTCCCAAATTGTTTATGTCAAACTGATGCAAGATATTATTAATCCAAATCTGCAGAAACTTGTGTGGGTTTCTGCTCTGTGCCAAGATCTGATTCTCCCATGAATCATGGTCTGAATCAGAGATTCAAAATTTGTCTTGATTATAATAAAAGATAAATATGAAGAATAAAAAGCTGATTTGAAAAAAACAAAGGTGTTTATCAGTATGCTGCTTTATTATTTATTTTTTAAAATAATCAAGAAGTACTTAGATCAGCTGCTTGATAGTTTTTTTTTTTAATTGCTTTTTTGCTTAAATAGTACACTAGGATTTTCAAGCTTGAGCTTTACATTTTTAATCCAGAAATCACTCAACTTCTTCTGTAGTCAGCTAAGAGATCCCTTTTAGACTTGTTTTTATTTAAGTAGGTAAAGAAGTAAGGATTAACACAGTAAAAATAACTTCAGCGAACTTCTTTTCTTTCTGTTTTTGGAAGGTATTGTATAATGAGATGACAGTGAATTCGTGTTTGTAGTAATTTTGTTTGTTTGTGTAGTTAATGTGTCCAAGGATTTGCGCATTCACAGTACTAATTTTGTTTTGAAACTCATCACAGATGGAAGTTGTCCTTCAGTAGAGAATTTGATGAGTTTCTGTAATGCTATTTTGAATCAGTCCTGCTTCCAGGATGTCTTGATTTGTTGATTAGGAAAACTTGTTTCTTCTGAGAAGAGGCTGTAGAATGACTTTCATGAGTTGGCATGTACCATGTTCACTTTAAGAGTGCCTGTTGTGGCAGATGTGGGTGCATTTCGTTTGTTGTTTTATTTGTTTGAACTGGTGGGCATCTCTTTCTGATAAGGTGAGGTGACAGATGATAAGGTTTGCATGGGTCTTGCTTTGTCTTTGAGAGAGGATTTGTTTTTTTCCCCTCTGTAGATTCAACAATCAATGAGGTAACTTTTTTTTTTTTTTTTTTTTTTTTTTTTTTTCCCAGCAGCTTTGCAGCAGGTTCTTCTGGCAAGTGAAGAATTCTGTAAAATACACACATTTTGTGTCAGGTTTCCTTGAAGAGTTTTTTTTTTCCCCCTAGAAATAAAGTTGCTATTCATTTGCTTTCTGCTATTATTATTTGTGTTGTAATAATGCTGTTTTCCTCTCCCTCAATTAAGTTCCTTTGTAATTTGGTACCCCAAGAGTACATACATAGGTCTTGCTCTCCAGTGCTTACAAAATGTTACTAAGAGTGTGGCACACGTGCGGTGCTGGGAGGATTGAGGACTAATAGTAGCGGTGATAAGCACACCACCAAGATATGTGTGCTGGGTATCTTAGAAATTTAATAATTCCAAATAATATGACAGGCTGCTCTTTTTTCATATAAGCGACTGCTGGACCTGAAGATTGGACAGAACTTGTATCTCAGGAAATTCTTTCTTGTCTGTTCTACTCAGTTGCTATTCACTGTCAGTAGTTAATTCTACTTATCGTGTGCTGTACGATGCAAACATTGTTTTCGCTCTGGAGTTGGTTTCCAGTTATATCTGACAGTCCTGACACTTTAGAATTTAAAGAAATGGTTGCTCTTACCTGTTGGCTTCAATTTTTTTCAACATTTAACTCTCTTACTTTGCTTGCTGGCCATTCATTCTCCTGCAAGGCTAGTTCAGTGATCCTGATGGTCACTTTTGGTTGTTCTTGTCAATCCTACTGTGTATACCACATGTAGGAGAATTTGCAAAAATAGTTTATACCCTGTGGTCTGAAGTGGTACTCCTAAATTAACTTTGGTTTTTGTACTTCTGATTCATAGTTTATTACTATGGGTTTTTTTTTTTTAATGCAATCTGTTGATAATTTTACTGCGTTACTATAGTGCATCATATCTTTTAAGAACAAATAAACTAATTGGGCACACGTACTTCCTTTTTACTTGCCTTAGCACCTTGTTAGGGAGAAATTTGTCTTGTGTGCTTGTTGGTAATGTCTTGCTATCTGAGCTATATTTAAATATCAAATTATATTTCTATATATGCAATGCCAGTCTTGTATCCTTGAAAGATGTGTACTTAATCTTCACTGCTAAATTGAGAGAAAGAATTCCTATTTGTTTTAGTTGGGGCTTTTAATCTATAAAAACTTATTCACTAAGGCAGTAAATTCTCAGCACTTAGCATTTGAAAATTTCTTTTATTAAAGTCTATGTTTTAAGACCTTAATAGGCTTGTGGTAAAATCTACAAATTAAAAATGTATTTTATACTGTTTGCATGGCTTTCAGAACATTTTGTATTTCATCCCTGGAAACTCTGATAGTTCTGCGTAAAAATATTTTGGCACCAATGATGTGGTGAGAATTTTTATATCACCCTTTTTTCCAGCATGTCCATTCTTTATTAGATTCTTTTTCATTCTAACTGTCTTATTAAAAAATGATTTGACCTACGAGACCATAAATTTTTTTGGACAGGCATCCAATTTTATTTGTTGGTAAAGAGCTTATTCATACCTATGATGCTGAATTCACAGACAATATCTTAGTATAACAGACTTCTGAGATGAAATTCCAACATTGTCATAATGCAGTGAAACAGCATGTTTATTACTGAAGTTTCTCAAATTGTTCTTAAATTTTGTAAGATGGATTTTACTCTTCCCTTGAACTTTATCCTGTTTAAAAATGCAATTTTTAATTAAACATATTTTGAGTTTTTTATTAGTATTTTTAATATGTGACATTCTTTTTTAATTTGTCTTTGCAGTGGCTCCTGTATCAGTAAGCTAGCACCCCATGCACAAGGAATTCCTTTGGACATTTGATGTAATATTTTCTCAATTGCTTCTGTATATAACATATGCTAAAAGGAAGTCTGAAAAATCTATGTAATCAAAACAATTTATTTTGGAACTTGTCTCTTGAGGAGGTATTTGCCAGAATCTGGATGCACCATTAGAGAGCAGCTTCCCTGTGTTGTTCAAGTTGGCAGATGAAAATGTTCTCTTTTGATATTTTCATTTAGTTCCTTTGAAACCATGTAGATTCTCGGATTACCATCTGTTTTGGTTTTTTTTTTTTTTTTTGTTGTTGTTGTAACCACTGAATGAACCCAAAAGGTTCTTCTACTTAACATATGATGCCATTTTCTGTTGTTTGGTTCAAAAACTGTTCGGTCCAGCCTTTAATGGCAATACTTTCTTTACATCATGAATCACAGATCTTGCATTTTCTTGTAGTTGTGCAGAGCATGCTGTGA